CAGCGAGCTTCTCAAACATTTCACTTTATTTTACTTGTCTTATCTCTGTTTGGATTTTCCCCACGCAGTCAGGTCCGTAAAAAGCATGTATTATAATATACATGGGGAAATACACACACACTTAAGGACTGGGCGATTGATCAGATTTTATTAATGGCAGTAGTAGAAGGCATCAGGCAAGACCACAGTAGCAGCGCAACTACAACCCACGATCCAGAAGCAACTACGATCCAAGGCAACCTACACCACAAGAAAGCATAAAGACATAAAGTCAGTAAAATGCATTAATGGGACATGAATATTTGCAAATGGAGAGAGAGAGAGAAGAGGCTCAGAGTGTCATAGGAGGTCCACCGGCAGACTAGGCTTATGTGAGGCTTACTAGGGGCTGGTTCAAGTCAAGCCTGAGCCAGCCCCGACTATAACAGCAAGCCCTAAATACAAGAGCCAGCCCTAAATACAAGAGCCAGCCCTAACTGTAAGAGCCAGCCCTAACTATAAGAGCCAGCCCTAACTGTAAGAGCCAGCCCTAACTATAAGAGCCAGCCCTAACTGTAAGAGCCAGCCCTAACTATAAGAGCCAGCCCTAACTGTAAGAGCTAGCCCTAACTATAAGAGCCAGCCCTAACTGTAAGAGCCAGCCCTAACTATAAGAGCCAGCCCTAACTGTAAGAGCCAGCCCTAACTATAAGAGCCAGCCCTAACTGTAAGAGCCAGCCCTAACTATAAGAGCCAGCCCTAACTGTAAGAGCCAGCCCTAACTATAAGAGCCAGCCCTAACTGTAAGAGCCAGCCCTAACTATAAGAGCCAGCCCTAACTGTAAGAGCCAGCCCTAACTATAAGAGCCAGCCCTAACTGTAAGAGCCAGCCCTAACTATAAGAGCCAGCCCTAACTGTAAGAGCTAGCCCTAACTATAAGAGCCAGCCCTAACTGTAAGAGCCAGCCCTAACTATAAGAGCCAGCCCTAACTGTAAGAGCTAGCCCTAACTATAAGAGCCAGCCCTAACTGTAAGAGCCAGCCCTAACTGTAAGAGCCAGCCCTAACTATAAGAGCCAGCCCTAAGTTTAAGAGTCTGCCCTAACTGTAAGAGCCTGCCCTAACTATAAGCTTTATGAAAGAGGAAAGTCTTGGACCCTGTGAGGCAGACCGTGCCTTCCCCCAGACTGAAACTAGAATATGTATCCACAGAAAAGGAGCCAAAATCATTACATGATTTGACTGATAAGATTCTTTGTCCTAAATTGCCGTTTAATTTAATCCAGAGCAGGGTTAACACATGCGAATCGCTTCTCTAAGCACAGAATTTGTCTTGCCTATCATTTAAAATCCTGGTGTTCATTTTAATAAAATAGGTTTGTGTGCTAATCACGTGGTATCAGATTAATCTATGCCTGTTTCAAGTGTGCTTTGTTTTGTCCATAGGTTCCTGTGGATGGACCTGGACTGTACACCGGCCCTGTCTTCACTGCTGCTTCTACAGGCCCTCTGTTCTCTACGTAGACACACACACAACCGTGGCACACTGACACTGGGACACACTCTGCAACGGTTTCACAGTATTCTCTTGTCAGTTGTGGGACACTTGAGTACGACTAAATAACCAGTCCATCATTTCCACTTTGGTGATGTATTTATACAGTATACTCATGACACAGAGTATCTTTGTACGGAAGCTGCCTGCAACTGGATTTATACCCACAGAATCACACTCATTTTTAAAGTCACTATGTTCATAACAAGGTGGCAAATCTATTTTTGCCAGGTTTTTAGGATTGAAAAAGACTCTCCATCGTATTAAAAGTGGACGGCATGTATGTATGTATGTATGTATGTAAGTATGTATGTATGATAAAGTAGCATTTCAGCCTATTTATTAGATGACCCACTGAACAGGACTCGTTGCTCTGCAGTGGTTTTGTTGGTCACAACAAAGCAAAGCCTAGTTGGGCTGTTAAATGAAAAGTATATCTGTAAATGTGTTCTGTTGGTTAACTTCTCCGTTGGCCTGATATTACAGTTGTGGCCTCCTCTTAACATGATGTCTCTCATACGAGAGGCTGTTACATTTTATGGAACTGACCGTCTGAAAGTGTGTACACAGAATAAAGAGTCTATTTATGTTACTTAGTCGAGGAAGAGTCATTACTGTGTGTCTTTCAGCATCAGTGCTTAACGTGACCCAGGTAGGATCTCGGCTGTCCCTCTTTAAGGATACATATATTAAGGATAGATATTTGCCTCTGATGTTTTTGCCTCCACAGCCAGCTGTAAGAAGTAGAAGCAGGTAGACAGGAGCAAGCTACAATGAAAGGAGGTGCGAATTTGGCTCTCTAGAGAGACCGACACAGACAGAGAGAGAGAGAGAGAGTAGTATATAGTTCGCTCTACGTTTGCACAGCTGTGGTTGAAGAACTCATCAGGATCACATCACACAGAGATGGTGAGTATGTCTTCATGTTTTGACAGATTAAAAACTTTGTCAATAACCGTGGATTGTAATTTTTGAGGTTTTGGTTGGGACAAAGCAATGACATTGATATTTATGAGTGGCTGTACAAACATTAAATGCAAATCTATTCATTCCACTAAAAGCACCTGTAGCCCAGGGGTCACAGAACCAGACAGCCATACAGTTACACTTGAAATCTCAGTCACTTCCATTCGGTGTCAAGTTCTTGCTCTGAGCCACATGAATTGTATCTATATCTTCTTAATATATCAATGATATAAACAAAGAACATCTAAAGTGGACATTTCAATCCACATCATTTTTCCAGACTTTGCAAAAATCTGTTAACATACATACACTGTAAAATATTTTACTGTACATTTACAGTAAATTACATGCATCATTTTCACAGTAAACTATTGTTAAATTACAGCAATATACTATGATCTGAGAATAATTATGCCTGCATATTACTGTGATTTAGCAGTATGTTTCTCCAAAGATAATACAGTGGATATAAAAAGTCTACGCAGTCTTGCTAAAATGTGATGTAAACATTGAACAAAAATTAGACCAAGATAAATAATTTAAAAACTTTTTTCACCTTTTAATGTGACATAATCTGTCCAGTTCAGTTGAAAAACAAAAACAATGTTTAGGGGTGAAAATATATAAGTGTGCACACCCTTAATCTAATACATGGTTGAAGCACCTTTTGATTGTATCACAGCATTCAGTCTTTTTGAGTAGAAGCGTGCCACATCTTCACTTCAGCATATTTTCCTGGTCTTTCTGGCAAAAGTGTTGCGACTCAGATTGCAAGGCCATCTCCTGTGCATACCCCTCTTCAGGTCAGATTTTCAATTGGATTTAGGTGTGGGCTCTGGCTGGGCCATTCCAACGCTTTGATTTCCTTCTGGTGAAGCCATTCTTTGGTTGATTTTGATGTATGTTTTGGGTCATTGTTGCACTGAAAGGTGATATTCCTCTTCATCTTCAGCCTGAGGGTTTTGGGCCATTTGACTGGTATTTGAAGCTGGTACCTTTTAGAATTACAGCCAAAAAGTTCCACCTTGGTTTCACCAGACTATAACACATTTCCCTGCATGCTTTTGGGTGTAATTTTTTGCTAAATATAGCCAGGCTTAAATGTTTTTCTTTGCAAGGAAAGCCTTCTGTCTTGCGACCCTACCCCGTAGTCCAGGCGTAGAAAGAATACAGGAGATTATTGTCACATAAAGCACACAACCAGCTCCTTCAGTGCTGCTGTAGGCCTCTTGGCAGCCTCCCTGATCAGTTTCCATCTTGGCTTTTCATCGGTTTTGGAGGGACCTAACGTTGTTCCATATTCCCTCCACTTGTTGGAGACTGTCTTCACTGTGTTCCATGGTGTATCTAATGCCACAGAAATGTTTTGTACCCTTCTCCTGACTGATACCTTTCAGCAGTGAGATCCCTTCGATGCTTTATAAGCTCTTTGTGGACCGTGGCTTCTGCTGTAAGCACAACGGCAGTAAACAAACAGGAAAGGAAGCATAATAAGAATACACACCCTGTCAGCATCAAGTGTATGTTAGAGAAACTAAAAGAAATAATATATTTAAATATTTATATGTCATTGGACTGGAACACAAAGAATTGAGGAGAAGGGTGTGTAATTGTGATAAGGGTGGGGGTTTCATAGTTTAATTAGAAACTGTTTGCTGTTTGCATATTAATGCATTATGTCTCAGCTGTGTTGTATTTGATATATTCTGTAGTCCAGGAACGTGCACAGATAGAGCACTTTTGTCCTCTGACTATAAGATCCCTTTTTCTTTTCTATCTCTTTTTTCTAATTTAATATTTTAGTTTTTAATTTTGGCCCATGGCATAAATTATCAATTTAAAGCGTGTTGTAACGCCTGACAACTGCATTTTAGTTTCCATTCTATTAAAACATCTCAGTACAGCCAGACTAATTTCAATCTTTCAGTCAATCAATTTTATTTATAAAGCCCAATATCACAAATCACAATTTGCCTCACAGGGCTTTACAGCATACGACATCCCTCTGTCCTTTGGACCCTCACAGCGGATAAGGAAGAACTCTAACTCTAAAACTTTAACGGGGGAAAAACGGTAGAAACCTCAGGAAGAGCAACTGAGGAGGGATCCCTCTTCCAGGACGGACAGACGTGCAATAGATGTCGTACAGAACAGATCAGCATGATAAATTAACAGTAATCCGTATGACACAATGAGACAGAGAGAGAGAGATAGAGATATGCAGTAGGCTTACAACAACATTAATGAATATAATTATATCATAATTAATAATAATATATTAATATCTGATAGTATACATGCGTGACAATAATCATATGTGTATAATAACAGTAGAAGTATGACTAATGACTAATGATGGCAGCAGCAGCAGGAGGCATCTGGCAGGACCACGGCAGCAGCACAACCACACACGTCACGCTGTCCAGGCACCGCTGTGATATGAGTTAATCTGAGAGACAGTGGAGCACAAAGGCTCCAGAGAAGAAGCCGAGTTAGGGACATGCAGTTACAGGACATGAGTGTTAGCAAAGGAGAGAGAGAGAAGGAGAGAAGGTGCTCAGTGTATTATAGGAGGTCCCCCGGCAGACTAGGCCTAAGTCAGCCTAACTAGGGGCTGGTACAAGGCAAGCCTGAGCCAGCCCTAACTACTATAAGCTCTATCAAAGAGGAAAGTCCAGAGTGAACAAAGACAGAAGCCAATTTGCTTTACCACTTTTGTACGACCAAAACTCTTTTGAAATAATGTTTAGATCTCCCATGCTGCGGCTCTGATAATTTATTTAAATAAATCTAAAATGCGGTTTGGTGCTGCACATGCCTTGTGCCGAGAAGCAGAGAAGGAGAGGAGGAGCACATATCTGCAGCCGTCTGTTCTCTGGGATTCTTCATGAATATTTAAAGCTTATTTAGAGGATAATTTTAAGTATTAGTATGTGACTATATAGTGAAATCACAGTGGATTTTGCATATACACAATCTTTATTGTTTACAAATTCTTGGGCGGTGGATTGAATTTTAAAAAATGTGAACTTTATTTAATTTGTGAACCAACGGGAAATAAAGCACTTCGCTGGACTGTGGGTTAAATTAAAGGGTTCTGATGGAAATGTAACAACAGGCAAAAATATAAAATAAGCCTTTCCACTCTGTACCTCCAGATCCATTTAAACCTCACTGCAGAACACGCTCCCTCATTAATACACAGTAAAACACGTGTGTTGACTCAGCAGAGATAACAGGAAATAAGACAAGCTGATCTACAAGATAATAAATATTTGAAAGCAGCACAGATGCCTGAGAGATTATATTTTTATTTGAATTCATCACCTGCCACCTGAATTTGGATTTTCTTCACATAAATAAATACATTTCTGTTGGAAATGGATGCAGAAAAATTCACCAGAAAGCAGGAAATGAAGTATTTATTTGTGCGGTCATTTGTGACCAGACAAAGTATTTGTGTTCTTTGCAGTACGGTTTCATCAACAGCTGCCTCCAGTCTCTGGTGATGGAGAGGTTTGGCCAGGAGACCTGGGACAAACTGAGGTGTGTACAGTCACTTATGAGGATCAAGATGATAATTGTGACGATTATGACATTAGTGTACAAAGTTAATAAGAGTCAAGGTCTTTGTACAGCTCTCTATCAGAGGTCCAGGATACCTTCATGACGTACACGGTTTATGACGACATCCTGACCCTCAACCTGGTGCAGGAGGCCTGTTCACTACTGGGTAAGGGTGCTATTTCCTCTATATCCTGGTCCACTCACTAACATGGACTCAGTGTTTCAGCACCATGGACAGCTTCACTCACTAACATGGACTCAGTGTTTCAGCACCATGGACAGCTCCACTCACTAACATGGACTCAGTGTTACAGAACCATGGACAGCTCCAGTGCTCCACTCACTCAGATTACATCATTTTAGACGTTGTGTTTTACATATGGTCACGTGCATTTTTTTATTTTTAATTTTTTTTCTGCTTTTATTAAGTGTAAACAATATTTTGCACAAACTGAAAGCCTGTGTCTGAGGTGTGAACTTATGTCCGTGTGTGCATGGCGTATCTCAAGTGTTAATAATATCCCCAATGAAATCCAACACCCAGAGCATATTTACAGCTGTGCATGCACAATCACTGCCTTAAAACTGAACACAATTAAAGCATTCTTATGTATTTATTCAATTTTTTCAACAGTTGCTGTGTAGAAAGGATCGCCATGAGACTGTAGTTTCAGGTCCTGTTTTAATTTAATCTAATGCAAGAGATTATTATGTTTTCTACGCTACACATTTATAAAGGATGGCTCGTTTACACAGCAGCAGCTACAAAAAGTTTTGTACATGAAAAGTAAGTTATTTATTAATAGAGATATAGATCATATTTTGCCGTTACACTAATAGATTATGAAATAGTTGGCCCCTGAGCACAGATGTGTAAAACCTAACAAGAACTGTTTATTTAGGGAATGCCAACAGGGTACTGAACTCTTCCCAAAGGTCTGATTATCTTGTCTGTACATACCTCTGGGAATTTGCTGTAATTGAATATCTGTTTGCTGCCAGTGCTATAATAATACAAACAGGACTATGAAATGATATGTGATGATTTTTATCAATATATATATGTGTGTATATATTTCAGTGACAGTTTGCCTCTTTATGTGTTTTTCAGATGTGTCTGCAGATGTATTTCTTAAGCTTTTTGGAGAACATTTCTTTATGTTCTGTAAGCATGCGGGCTATGACACCATGCTGAGGACACTGGGAGCAAATCTCATTGAATTCATTGGAAATCTGGATGCTCTCCACAGTTACCTGGCTCTGTCCTATGAGGTATGCTCATGTGTGTCATAGGTCCAGCAATGACCCTATCAGGGCTCAACAGTGCGAGCGTTTCACTCGCGTTTGCAACTAAAAATAGGTGTGTGCGAACTGTAAAAAATATTTAGGGGCACATGTGCGCATAAAAAAATCAGCCGAAGCAGCCTATATTTTTGTCAGTAAAAAAATATGATGATCTAACTGCAGATGTTGGAAGAACTCCAGCCGCCTTCCTTCTTCCCTCTTCCCCGTGTGACACGGTTATGGGCGGTTTTCCAAGCCACTGTCGGCACAATGAATATAAGCAGGGACGGTTTTTGCTATGGGCAATGTGGGTGACCGCCCAGGGCGCATTCTATGTGAGGGCGCACAAGCACCCTCCAAAAAAAACAAAAAACAAAAAAACAAAACTCATTTCCACATCAAGTTAGTGGAGTGGACGCTGGGGCGCCCCTATTATCACGTTTCAACCAGCAGCAGAAAGGAAAGGTGAATCCTGGCAGTTGTGGGTTGAACGGGGGTCACAGACAGGAATACGGTAGAGGCTCATAGTGCTCTGCGGCGCAAGATAACGGCTTATCGGCGACAGAAGTCCGACTCCAGGTCCAGTAATTTCCTCTTTCGTTGGTGTCATGACTGCCCAGTAGTACCTGGACAACCAAAAAGCGCCGAGGGACGGTTCGCCCAGGGCGTAAAACTAGCCAGGACCGCCTCTGAATGTAAGTCCCACTGTCGGCAGTGTGGAAATAAGTCAAAGTGTGGAGAAGAGGGACCGGGAAAAGCGGCAGACCTCCGGGGAAGCCTGCTCTGTTCTCCCCGCAGTTAGGGACCGTTCGCCACGGTACCGCTGCTGGGCAGGGTGGAAATAAGTCCTGCAGAGTTTCAGAGGACCTGGAGAATGTTTTAGGATAGTAATAACATTATATAAGATAATCATATTGCAAAGATAATATATATAAGATAATAACATTAAAGACAAAATTAAATTGCAAAACTTTTTCAAAACTTGATGATTTTATCTTCCTGTACATTTTGTATACAAATTCATTAAATAATTTTGCTTGTAAATGTCTATTTGCATCACGTTTACATTGTGCCCCTAAAGTTCTTTGTGCGCTCCTTACTTTTTCAACTTAGGAGCACATGTGGTCCTTGGGAAAAAAGTTAGCATCAAGCCCTGCCTATATACTTCCAACAATATTCTCTGGGTCCTCAGTGGGTCATTTTATTAAAAATGTTATTTCACTAGTGTCAAACTGTGCTACAGAGACTTGAACATTTTCACTTTGTTCACGTTCGTGGTGAATCATCTTTGCATGCTAAAGTTCGTTCCAGAGTTCCACAAGGTTCTGTGCTTGGACCACTTCTTTTGACTTTATATATGCTTCCCTTAGGTAACATCAATGGAAATCACTCTGTAAACTTCCATTGTTATGCGGATGATACACAATTCTATCAATCAAGCCAGAGGAAACAGATTAATTAACTAAACGTCAAAGATGCCTTAAAGACATAAAACCCTGAATGCGCTCCAATTTCCTTATGTTAAATTCAGACAAGACGGAAGTTATTGTTCTTGGCCCCAAACACCAGTAAGCGTTATTCAGCAATCAGTTTTATGGAAGGCTCCACCTAAATCCAATCCGATCCGAACCGAGCCAAGGTGGACTTCAATGATAGATAGAATTGTGTATCATCTGCTTAACAATGGAAGTTTACAGAGTGATTTCTGATAATGTTACCTAAGGGAAGCATATATAAAGTCAACAGAAGTGGTCCGAGCACAGAACCTTGTGGAACTCCAGAACGAACTTTAACTCTTTACCAGAATTTGATGGTCAATTGTGTCACATACAGTGCATAGCACAGCTTCACGCTAGTGAAGCAACATCACCAAGCCACACATCAACTTGGACAGTGAACTATATCAGGCTATGAACTGCTGTTTTCCTATTAAATGTTCTGAAGTATCCAATCGTATTTTGCATGATCTTTGTAGAGATGAGTGTTATTCTGGATCTGTTCTGAATGGAAGCTTTGTAAATAACACGTCTTCATCTCCAGCATGACCAAAGTAGCTCAGGATGTGTTTCTGAAAAACCATGCAGTCCACTTGTAGACCTCTAGGCATTTTATGAACTCTGCCATGTAGACATTTAATATTGTTTTTTTTTTTTTTTTAACTTAAACTGCATCTGAATCATACCCTCCCTTTAAGGAAATGAATGCACCTTCTTTCCGAGTGGAGATGACAGACGATGGGAAGATGCTGCTTCACTACTATTCTGACAGAAAGGGCCTGTACCATATTGTACCTGGTAAGATCAACCACATCTGGAAATACTTGTTACACACAGAATCTTTAGCACAGCAACGTGAATGTCTCCGAATTAACCCTGTGCTTTACTGTACAGTAGACAACGACTGAACCATCAACTACACCCTGATCGCTCACTTTCTTCCATCTTTTTCAAACTCCTTTTTCCTTCCTTTCCCTCCATTTCCCCACCTTGCTACAGGTATCATGGAGGCGGTTGCCAGAGAGTTTTTTGACAGCAAAGTGACCATGGTGGTTCTCAATCAATCCGAGGAAATGGAGTGCACAGGGAAGAAGGAGCATGTTGTGTTTCTGGTCAAACAGACTAACCAAGCTAGCAAGACTAGAGACCAGGACCGTTCCAGTCATAGAGGGGTGGGTCTCTGTGGGTGTATGTGCATGATCTGTTTCTATATGATATATGTGTAATTGATTCTTGGCTCATCTATGGTCTGTGTGATTTTCCTCAGGAGGCGTTATTCAGAACAATGAGGGAGCGGTGTGTGTCACTGGCTGGGAGAAAAAGAGGCTGGGCCCTGATCAGAGCCGTGGTTCTCTCAGATAAAGGTTAACTTTTGTCTACTTCCTGTGTCAACTATTAAGGGTAACTTCTCCACCACTGATGGGTTTGCTTGATTTATTTTTCAGGCAGCCTCCATTGTACCTTCAGTCCATGTTATCCAAACAAGCTGTGGGTGGAAGAGAAAGCTTTCTGCAATGCTTTCCCCTTCCATATTGTCTTTGATGAGGATGTAAGGCTCCATGTGTCTTTGTGCTTGGTGGTATTTTTTTAAATCAAATTCACTGGCATGCTAAAAATATCATATTTGACTTGAACTCCTAATACCTTGTGTTTCTGTCACCTATCTGTCTCTCTGTGTTGGGCTGTCCATCAGCTGAAGGTCAGGCAAACGGGGGTGAACATCCAAAAGTTCCTTCCAGGTCTCCAGGCCAGAGATGCTACGTTGGACCAATGCTTTACCATCATACACCCACAGGTAAACAGTCGCAGGTCCAAGAGGTCGAAAGTGTCAGCACGTTCTTATTCTGAAGTCGTGAAATATCGCTGCTTTGTCGGTGATTTCAGTTGTGATTTATCTCTGTCCTCCAGGTGACTTTTACCATTGAGAGCATCAGGAAATTCATCAACAGTCAGTTTGTCTTGAAGGGCTACAACGACAAACACGCATCGATCAAACTGAGAGGTGAGTTCTAACCACAGTACTTTTTAGGAAAAGTTAGGTAGGGTTGAGGGTACCCAAGAGCAGCGTCAGCAACCGCTGCAAAATAATATCTGACCTGCACAGGTAAACCTGTATTCCATTTATCTCCAGGTCAGATGTTGTGGATGGAGTCTCTCGGCTGTATGTTGTACCTGTGCTCCCCAAAGCTTCGAAGCCTCCAGGAACTTCAAGATGTCGGCCTCCACTTGGCTGACCTGGCCCAGCATGACGTCACCAGAGACCTGGTTCTCCTCAACCAGCAACGTCTCGCTGAGATGGAGCTCACCAACCAGCTGGAGAGGAAAAAAGTAGGAAAGCAAGTTTTCTGTTCCTGTTCAAAGTGGCAGCCCAGTTTACAAACATGATAAATCACATGTAATTGTTTAACAGAACTTCTGTCTTCATCATACTTGTGCGTGTTTCTGTCTGTCTGTAGGAGGAACTGAGAATCCTGTCACGGCACCTCGAAGCAGAAAAACAGAAGACAGAGACTCTGCTGTACTCCATGCTGCCGCGCCACATAGCCAATCAGCTGAAGGATGGGAAGAGCGTGGAAGCAGGTCTGTCCGTCTGTCAACCTGGCTGTCTGTCTTTACATGTCTATGTGTTTCTCTGTCAAAGTGTCCGTCTTTTTCAGGGGAGTTCGAGGTGTGCACTATTTTGTTCAGTGACGTGGTAACTTTCACAAACATCTGTGCCGCCTGTGAGCCCATCCATATTGTTCACATGCTCAACTCCATGTACTCCAAGTTCGACCGACTCACCAACATACACGACATCTACAAGGTATTATCATGAGTTTGATATTTGATATGTTTTCAGGTTGCACGTCTCGTTCTTGTAAATGCAATATATCAAGTTTGCAGATTTTTATTTTTTATTTTTTAATTTGGCACAAACGTCCATTTGGGCTCAGCAATTAACTATTTTGATTTTGGCGGTCAAAGGTCAAGGTCACTGTGACCTCCATCTCATTCTCATGAACATGATATCTCAAGAACACCTTGAGGGAATTTTTCAAATTTGGCACAAACGTCCACTTGGACTCAGCAATCAACTAATTTGATTTTGGCAGTCAAAGGTCAAGGTCACTGTGACCTCGTCCATCTCATCCTTATGAACTAGATATCTCAAGAACACCTTGAGGGAATTTTTGTCAAATTCGGCAAAAACATCCACTTGGACTCAATGATTGTGGTGCTCAAGGTGCCAAAAAGAAATACATTTGAAAAACTCAACAGCAATGTCTCTTTCCAGAAATCAATTCAGCTACTCAAGCTCACCTAGCACCACTGAGCTAGCTAAGCTTATGAGCTCAAAATGTAATAATCTGCATTGATGTTAGAAAAACATTGTTGTAGAACATCATATTAGTTTGGGTTTATTAGCATATTTGGATTTATTGGTTTCCTAAAGGTTGAGACAATTGGTGACGCATACATGGTGGTGGGTGGTGTTCCAGTCCCAACAGAAACCCATGCTCACAGAGTGGCAAACTTTGCTTTGGGTATGAAGATAGCTGCCAGAGAGGTCACCAACCCTGTAACAGGCAAACCCATACAGGTAGGAATTTTTAATCATCTCAGATCATTTGTGAACTGCGTTTCATATGTTCTTCCGAAATGATATCTTGTCCATATACTGTATATGACCAAGTGAGGGGAGGTGTCTTCTTGTCAGTGCCTATGGAAAGATTTTTACATAGACAAACTAGCCTTCTGGTTAAAATTTCAAATCTGTTGCACCTTTGCATACTTGCCAAGTAATGCTGGTTGTGGTCACGATTATGCTGCGTTGCACCTGTATTTTCAGCAATTTTTATGCCTCCGCATTGGCAATAGCCATGGCCGGAGGTGTTGTGCTTTCGAGTTGTCCGTAAGTCGTAAATACCTGTAAGTACCCATAAGTCCCTGTACACATCCATACGTCCGTTAGTACATCCATTTGTCCCATTTTTGTGAATGTGATATCTCAAGAACACCTTGGGGGAATATCTTCAAATTTGGCACAAACATCAATTTGGACTCAACAACAAACTGATTAGATTTTAATGGTCATAGGTCAAATGTCAATGCCACTGTGACACCGCCTGTCTTATTCTCATAAACGCAATATTTCAAGAACAGCTTGAATTCTTCTTTTTTCAAATTTGACACAAACATCCCCTTGGACTCAAGAATGAAGTGATTAGATTTTGGTGGCTAAAGGTCAAGGTCACTGTGACCTTGCATCCATCTTATAATCAATCAATGAACATAATACTCAGAACATCTGAGGAAATTTCTTCAGATTTGGCACAAACATCCAAATGGACTGCACAGTGATTAGATTCGGGTGGTCAAAGGTCTGCGGTCAAGGTCACTGTGACCTTGCATCCGTCTCATTCTCATGAATGCAATTTCTCAAGAAGGCCTTGAGGGAATTTCCTTAAGTTTGGCACAAACGTCCACTTGGACTCAAGAATGAACTGATCAGAGCTTGGTGGTGAAAGGGCAACCAGCATACCTCAAGAAACTGGAACATCCCAGGTTCTTCTAATCTCCACAAATGGACAATCTGAACCGTGACCTTTGATGTCAAAGGTCACAATGCCGTTTTTTGAGTTATTCAAAAGATTATATAACTGTGATTTTCTACGACAGGATGTCACACTTTCTTCATGGATTAATGTCACAATGTAGACCATTATTGTGCTCATGTACTCCAGCCAGCATGCATCTGCTGACATGGTGTGCGCGTGTATTTCAGATCCGGGTGGGTCTCCATACTGGTCCAGTGTTAGCTGGGGTGGTGGGGGAGAAGATGCCTCGCTACTGCCTGTTTGGAGACACTGTTAACACTGCCTCCAGGATGGAGAGTCATGGAGTCCCTGACCACATTCATCTCAGCACTTCCACATATAGGTGTGTGTGTGTGTGTGTGTGTGTGTGTGTGTGTGTGTGTGTGTGTGTGTGCATGTATGCTGTTTCAGGGATCCTTAACCAGGGGTGCACTTTGTTAAGAGTCCCTAATCCCTGTCAGGGCTGCGGTATTAATTGTTTTCCCCAGATTTTTACATACTTTTTTTCTGTGCCCCCATTCCCTCTTTAGTCAGTTAAAGGATGCTGGGTTCAACATACAAGAGCGTGGGCAGATTGAGGTGAAGGGTAAAGGCCAGATGACCACTTACTTCCTGGTGGGGAACCCGTTGGTGTCAGAAGATAGCATCATGGGAAGAGAGGTTGGAGGGACCTGTCTGTACAGGGACCACCTCTATGGCCAGAACAAAACAGGTAGGTAGGTTAATTTTGTTCTGAAGAGAGACTTGAAGCTTATGGGCTTCAAACGCAGCAGCACAGTGACATCTGGTGGATTGCAAAGCTTATAGCCCATCAAGACTGGAGCACTACAATGCCTCACTGATTTCTGTTTCAATCTTATATGTGCTCATGGTCCTGCAGCACCTCTCTGTGGGATTTTTATTGTCTTGTTTGCTTGTTTTACTTATAATAAATCCCATGGATGGATTTGAGTGTCAGAGACTTTTAGGTGTGGGTGCAATGGTTTATCAAATTGTAAAATTAAAAACATTCCCTTTTTATTTAGAATCAGACACAGAGCCTGATGTGAAAAGTGAGCCTGAGCCAAGCGACACATCCTCAGATGGAGCCATCAACCCCCACCCCAGCCGATTGCACACCGTCACTCCCTTTGCCTGGGACATCACCCCACCGTATGACACCACCGACAATACATCGGCAACCAACTTCAACAGCAGACTCTGTGTTTTATTCTGACGGAGAACCACCTGAGCCTCTTATTGCCCGTTGAAATTTTGATTGTTTAAGACATGGGGATATACATTTTATCCATGTTCTGACACTGTAACTGTGCGTATTCCTTGTTTGTTAGTTGAATGATTTTTTCCCCACTCTTGTAGGTTATAGTATGAGTGAGTAGTAATTTCATGTGTTTAATCCCTCATTTAACACGGAGCCATACTGCCATCTTGTGGCGATAGTTAAGAAGGGTTCCCGTAAGGAATCCCATATTATATTTCAAGTTAAAATATAGTTGGATTGATTAATCAACTGGTCTTTATTAATATGTGCTTCGACATTTAGTATGTTGAAGTAACTGCAGACTAGGTTTGTTTGTGCACAAAATATTTATACTTCATTAAGTTTCCTCCGAAGTAAAGTAATGTCTAAACTAAGAGACCCGCCTTGCCTCAAACACACCCACTCAACATGGTCGGATAAAACTACTAAGCTTGCTGCATCTCCGCACTTATCTTTCCTGTTACTTCTTTCTTTCCTCTTTATTTTGTTCCTTTACTTAATTTTACTTTTATTTCTCTTCTTTCTTTTGCTGTCCCTCCTTCTAGTTATACTCTTTATGCTTTAACCCGTTACGCCCTTAAACTCGGTTCCTGCGTAACCCTTTCGTTTGCTCGACACGTCCAGGATTGTCTTGTCTGTCCTGAATTTTCTTTCTTTCTTTCTTTCTTTCAACATTATACCTGAAACGACGAAGCCAGCCGGTTGCAACATTTTTCTACGTATTGATAATAACTTTGATAATAATATCGAACGGCCGACGAGATTGTTTTTAACCTCATTCTAAGCGAGCAGCTAAATAGATGAGCGACTATTCGACTTGCAACTAAATCCAAGATTCATCGGATCCAGCGGCTGCCAGCCACTTGTCAGAGTGTCCGCAAAGCAGGGATTCTTTGGCCAAACCAAGAGACTTTCTTCAGCCTAAGAGAACCGACGTTTGAGGGCCACCTGAAAGACGTCACAGTCAGGCTCAACCGCTCCTCCACCAATGTGTTCCAGCCGATGTCATTCTGCTGGGAAGTCTGGGAGCCTCAAAGTGACAGTCCGGAGTCCTCGGAGAAACGTCACCTGGAGCCAACTCTGCTCAAAGTAGGCAAAATTTCCCGCACCTGATGCAGCCGCTGTGTTGTGATAAGAATTGATGTCGAATAGGAGACCCTTTTACACTGCCAGATTTTCCGCGAATGTTGGGCCGATTTGCCATCCAGCTGCGAGCGTTTAGACACATAGAGCCGGATTGGCGAGTTGATCTGAGGCGCCCAATTTTCCACCTCATAGGGTAGACACATTGGCGGAACCCTTTTGACTGAGGCGGCCTTCCGCAATGGGAGGGGCTGTTGAAGACTTGTGGGAGGAGCTGTTGATGACGCCACACGTGCGACCCACTGGCGGTGGATAAACAGGTAACAGCTGATAGCAGGAATTAGCGAGCAGCTAGTAGCAAGAGGGAAACGCAAACCTGACAGACACTGTAAAGATGAGCAACTGGGGAGACAAGGAATTGCACACCCTCCTTGTCCTCGCAAACGAAGAGGCCATTAACCGTCAAATGACAGGGATGGTGAAGAATGGGCCGACTTACAAGAGAATCGCCGGACTGACCAGCCACGGCTTCCCTCCCACGTCACTGTTTATGTCACCCACTGAGCTACACATTTTGTTACTTGCTCACGCCCCCCATTGCCCCGAAAAAGGCACATTCTGTATAAACAAAAGTAGGTAGGCAGTAGGTGTTTTTATACTGCCAACGCTGAAAGAAGACTGATTGGGCTTTCCTGCAAATTTGCACAACTCCTATCTAAAAAGGACTTTAGTTATTCTGATCTTAATTTAGGTTTTGTTAGGTGAATGGTTTTGCGCATCCCTGTGTCCCCAATTTATCTATAGTCACATACTCTTTCTCACTGTCGCCCAACTAAATAAGTGACAAAGGGGTTACCTCTTGTCTTAATCCATTTACACATACTGTTGTGTCATTTCATATCATCCTTGTTTACTATTCATTTACTCAATTGTTGACCATTTATCCTAAATAAAAATTAATTTATCGCCAAGTCGTTGTCTGTAGAGATCTCTTTTGAGCAGGAAGTAAGATCACTGTATAGAGAATTCATAATCAAGGGTGGTGCCCCTAAATTTATTACTAGTGCAAACATTTTCTAAAGGTATTGCTCCTACATATATTACTGTAATGCATTACTTTTGTGATGCTTTACACCCAGCATTGTTCAATTGACAGCTTTCACACTAGCCCAAACAAACCGTACTAACCAGCAAACTGACCTGAGTTCGTTTTAATCTAGTCTCTATATACAGACTCTACATTCAGTGAATGTAGAGTCTGTAGGCAAACCCCGGAGATCTTGCCTCCGGAAGAAGAGCGAAAGAGCCCTGGTTTCCGGTTGTAGGCCGTTTGTAGTCCGCGTGATATTGACCAATCACGTTTGAGCTGGCTGCAGTTGTTGCCAGGTTAAACGGTCCGTGCGGTGAACTAACGAGGCGGAACATAATTGGCATCACTGCAAAATCTGAATCCATCGCAATGGTTCAGCATATTTACTTATATATAAATGGAAGTCAGAAACGGAAATTCGCCTCCTCAAACCGGAATACCAAAAAATCGGGGGTCTGCCCCCAGAGGCTGTATCACCATCTGCTGGAAGTCAGATGCTGAATACAGCCGATGGGTTCCGAGAATGATTTTAATCTAACCCATCAGGTTAGGTGTGAAAGCAGCCTCAAGAAAATGAGGCAACCCAAGATCAGTCTGAAAATTCTCTGATGTCAAAGGTTGCAGTCCAAACACGTCCCTATATGCATTTCTTGCCTTTAGGCCTTCTTCAAGATGCGATTGTTTTGATTGCTGATCTTGAAAAAGGCCCAAAGGCCAAAACTTCATTATCAAAATAAAAGACATGCATATGGAGCCAGGGTGTGCCACACTTGTTTTCTATGATCAAAGGTTGCAGTGCCCCTGTTGAGTTCTTGAACAGATGACTGGGCAGTTTTACATATGTTTTAGCATATTGTGTATTGTGTTCAATATTTTGGACATAGAAGTTGTATTTCCTAAGGTTATTACACCACCATCTGGTGGTCGGACTCTACTACATATAATATAACCAGAAAGGCATGACTCTGCTCTGTATGATGTTTGTGTGAGAAAACATCCTTGTGATAATCATCAGATTTAATTTATCTTAACATAACTGATGAAATTGCTGCTATGCATGTTGGCATAAAGAAAATAAGAGCCTCGAGAAAGTCCTGCACCGAGGTTAAAGGAATTGTTTTGTCAGTGACTCGAGGTTTCAAAGCGATAGCAATTGCATCAGTTTTGCATTTCAGACTTTCACACATCACAACCAGCCCTGCTGACAAAGAGAGAGCAGAGGGCTGATAGATGGAGCACACGGCTTTATTAGTGTGCAATTTTAGAAATGACTTGAAATGGCACATAAGCACATGAGTAATGTGAGTGCTCACACACACACACACTCACACACACACACACACACACACACACACACACACACACAGACTCTCTTCACTGTAGTGGGTTGTGTAAGAAGATAATGGCTGAGCCAAAATCAGCCCACTTCAATCCATAATGACACATGCGGTGTGTGTTTCTGTGTGTGTGTGACAGAGGTGAGGTGACTAGAGCATAGCGTTTCTTATATAAGGTTGTTGGCTCAAACACACACACACACACAAAGTTATTACTCCCTTCTGCTCACAACACAAGTCAACACCTCAGCGTAATTTTATGCATGCACACACACACACACACATATATACAACTTCTTTGTTGAAAGTTAATATGAAGGACATTTAGTGCTTACATACATGGCTGAAACTTCATAAATATTTATGGTATAAATGCTTTTTAAAAGATGCATCTGGTAAAGACAGGGTTGCAAAGCACAGGGCGAGAATAAATTTAGACTCCAAGGGTTGGAGGGAGATGTTAGCAAGGAGAAGAAAAAGGTCTAACAATAACCAGGAGATCAGCTCAGCTGATGGAGTCCCATTCCAGTTTTAAGAAACGCAATTTAAGAGACACTTCACCCAAAACACCCACCCTGATAGCTTGTATTAAAGGGATAGGTGGGAGTTTTTTGTTGTAGGGTTGTATGGTGTACTTATCCATATTTAGATGGGGAACTGAGGCACCAAATTCCTCAGATTATAAACAGTAAAAAGAAATATATTGAGCCACTTGTTTTTGAGAATTACAGATCAATATCAAACCTTCAAAAGCTTGTTTACTGACAATTACATATGTATCTGTTAAATAATATTTTGTTTGATGTTTACCAGTCTGGTTTTAAAGTTAACCACAGTTGCGAAACTGCCCTGGTCAGAGTTGTTAATGATCTTAAAATTAGCATTGACAATCACAATGTTTCTGTTCTGGTACTCCTCGACCTCAGTGCAGCATTTGACACTGTGGACCATGTTATTCTTCTTCAGCACCTTGAACACTTTGTAGGCCTTAAAGGCACTGTTATAAAGTGGTTTTCATATCTCTCAGGAGGATTGTTCTCTTTGTCTATCGGTAATTCTAAATCTGATGAGGTTGGGATTCCATATGGAGTCCCTCAGGGGTCAATACTTGGTCCTTTGTTGTTTAATTTGTACATGCTTCCGTTTGGGACCATAATACAACAATATCATATTACATATCAATTATATGCTGATGACACACAGTCATACATATCTGTGTCCACCAATAAATTTAGCCCACTAAATGACCTCATCCAATGCATCGCAGATATCAGACTTTTGATTGTAAAGATTTTATTTACAGCTTAGTCATGACAAAACAGAGAATCTGTTTGTAGGACCGAAGGCTTTGAGGAATGAAAGACTGCTTTTTATCACCTCAGTTAGACTCTGAAAAGCTGATTCACACTTTACTGTGAGCAGAAATTAAATAAACTCCAGTCTATTCACAATGCAGCAGCCAGAGTTTTAACAAAAACTGAAAGGTCTTGACCACATAACTCCTATTGTATCTTCTCTTGACTGGCTCCCAATGAAACAAAGAATTTCTTTTGAAATACTTCTTATTGTTTTTAAATGTTTTAATGGTTTAGCTGACAT